TCTTTCTACAAACTTCCTTATCCTCGGACAAAATCGCCTCCCTCTCCTCCTCTTGCATGCCCAAGGAGTTCTCCCCGCTGAAGAGAACGCGGTTTAGATAGCAAAGAGGCAGCATGAAGAGCCCCGCGAGCATTTTGTCACCCTCGGGCACTACACCTTCGACATCCTCCACCATTTCCTCTTCGTCGCGAGCTCGCTAACGGGAATTTGGGCGGGGCTGGCAGAGGGAGCCTGAGTTTTTGATGAAGAAGGGGAACCGCTGGCACGGCCCGCAGATTTGGCCTGCTGTTGGAGCTGGGTGACCCTGCTCTTTGGTCCTGAGGTGGACGCATTCTCGAGCCTCAACTTCAATAAGCGCTCAGAGAGGGACGCCATTCGACCTGCAATCAAAAAGAAACCATCAGTCATGGGTTAAAAAACAAGGAAACTAACACGGGCATGTCCCCGCATGAAAGGCAAGCAAAATTAATCATCGTGACATCGTCCCCCTACCTAAAAGCCTCATGGCTTCCCCGTCTGAGGGACATTCGAGTAGGGCCTTTGTGTTGATCAACCTATTAACTAAAAGTTACTCTCCGTTGTTGTCGAAGAGGAGGTTGTTGTTCACGTCCACACACCTCGCAAGGGAGAAGCTACTAACATAGGCCGCCAGCTTCTCGTAGGAGAGTTGGTCCTGGGCGTCCAATTCCTCAGGCTTAACAGGATAATACTCAGGCCTTTGCTCAAAGTGTTTCTATTGCCATTCGAGCGAGAATCTGGCCACAAGTCGGGTAACTGGTCGTCCATCCTCCACTTCCTCCATACGGGTGTATATGGAGTAAATGGCCGCGTACGTCAAAGGTTTTACAACAAAATACCTCTCTTTGAAGTTTCAGACAGATTCCAGATAAGGCCTAAAGAGCTTCCTGAACTTCTTGAAGGACACCCACGCTTGCCCCCTCCGACAAATTTTCTTTGGAGATGAAAGATACGGAAGAAGAGGGGCAATATGGCCCCTATCTATAGATACTGGCAGACAAGCTCGAAAACCCCCACTTGGAAATTGTTGAAGGGAAAACACATCCCTGCCTCTTTAAACGTGAATTCATACATGGGAAAACATTTACCCAGATATGTCAAGCAGATTTTCTGGTTGCGGTGAGGAATTTGAAGGATCCAGTTAGCAGGGGCCCCTTCCGCTCGTACCTCCGGACAGTTGAACGCGTCCGTTGCGTCATGAGAAAAGCACGGCCTCTTATTCTGAGGCTCAGGTACGACCCAGGCCAGAGGGTCCTCATCGACATGAGGTTCATCTTCGTAGTTGGTGGGAAGAACATCATCCCCGGCCGAGTGCGCCATTATACCTGAAAAGTAGGGGAAAACAGTGAATTTGACATTATCAAATTCACCCTTCCATCGTAAATCAAGTGAAAGGGCGACGAACTTGACCCAAGCCCTCGAATATACGCTAAAGCGGACTACGTTTTTGTTGGGGGATATTCACTAAAACGGGAAAGAAGCCCGGGTCAACCCCATTATTCGGGGAGATCGTCCCCTATATTATGGCCACTATTCGGGGAGGTTATCCCCGGCATCATAAACTCATGGATTTCAATGAACATTCATGAGTGTTTGTCGCAGAACTCATGAACTTCAATGAACATTCACGTGTTCATCACAGAACTCATGAATATTCATCCAGTAAAGGTAAATATTAGGTGTTTAATCTAGAAATGCTAAGGAAATATGTTATTGAGGCGATATAACTTACTTGGATGAAGAATTCTTGAAAGAAATCTGAAAAAGTTGAGAGGAAAGCTTCACGCACGAGCAAGGGAAGTTGAAGGAGAAAACTTGAGAAAATGACAAATGAGACTCAAGGATCCCCTTTTATAGGTGACTCACACCCCATGAGGTTCATCACGAAAAAGTCATCATTAGATTGGACCTTTTGGACTTTCCCTGAAGGGGTGGCACCCCAAAGCAACACCCATGTGGTCCAACAATCAACCACATGTCCCTTCTCGATAGACGAACATATCTCCAACTTCAATGCGTAATCCACATGCGAGCACGAGACAGATACCTCACACGAGGTAATGCTCGACGCCATGGGTGAAGCGTGTATACGGGCACATTCATCACGATCTACCTCGAGAAGCTCCCCATAACTTATACGGTCCTCTCGGGAAAACAACTGACCCCGTCTGTTTCACTGCTTATTTGTCCACAAGATCCCCGACACACTCAAACAGGATATCCCCTATGCAGGCAACAACTCGCTTCCTTTCAGAAGACTTCGACTATCCTCCCCGACCGAATCCTCTTCGGCTATAAAAGCTGAACTTAAGTCATCACCCTTTCACCTAAGAGCAATAAATTGGGGGCTCCTGATCTGGACTAGGTCTGCATTTGTCCCTCAGCCAATAGGCTCAATCCAACACCCTTGTATAAGGCTCAAAAGCAAGCAGCCCAAGTTAGGGACTGTTGGGAAACTCCCCACACATCCGTTGGGGAACGTGGGTCACGTCTCCACATCATAGTCATCTCAACTGCCCTCCAGAAATCACGGGTTCAACCCCTATTTTCACGGAGCAGTTGACCAGGGGGAGTCCACTTGCTGGACTCCATACACACGTAAGCCTTGACAGTTTCCACTTTTGGGTCTCAACGTGACCCAACAATGGAGACTTTGATCCAACGTTGGGGCTATAAATACTCTTTCTTCCGAGAGGGTCATGTATTAAATAATTTCTCACTCTCTTACTTGCTAGCTCATTCTAAATCTCACTTTGACATCAGAGTGTCTTGTAGGTACTCCCATCTCACTCTCAAATTCTATTCGACGTAAACTGTGACGGTCTATTTTGGTGAGATACGATCATATAATATCATGAAATTGAATATTTTATTTTATTTTTCAAATGAGTGAGACAAATATAATCCTATTAAATAATGTTTATAAATTACTGTAAAAAATATATCCTTTTCTTGTTCTATTTTATTTACGATGGGTATTGGGTACGCTATGATCTCCACTTGCAAGTTTCGTAATCAAGAAAATTTGAACATGTTGGAACAACTCCTTCATGTGAAAGGCTAAGCAACTTTGTGACTTGACTTCAGAATTTATGAATATGTTGGACACGCAACACGGTGTCTATCACATTAAATCTAAGTGGGAACAAAATTTGCAGTCAACTATGATGGATCGTCAATGTCAATATTGAGAGAGAGTATATAGTATGCAATTGAAGTTTCATTATCCCTTAGAGTATGGGACCTACCCTTAGAGTATGGAACCCTACACTAACCTTGTACATTTATATAATATATTTATATGTCTGCCAACAATATTTATGTAGAGTAAATGCCCCAATATAGTTGACTATGGTGTCAACCCCTATCTTGTACACATTACATAGTTAATATCACTATGGTACTATATGGTTGAGTAACAAAGTATCATTATGATATAAGGTTTTTTCTTTTTGGGTACAATATGAAATTAAATTTGTTTGGTCGTTCTGAAAATCAAAGTTTAGGGAGATGATTCAAACTGAGAGAATAGAGGCTTTCATTTGGTTGACAATAATGGACAACGATGAAGCAATGATGGAAAGAAGACAAAAGAGAAAGAAGAACTGGGAAGAAGATAACAACTCGTTCAATTTATTTAAGAGTAATGAATAATGATATATAATAAAAATAATTTGAATAAAAAATACAAGAATGTATATTTGTCATTCTTTTAAAGAAGAAATTTAAATTAATTTTAAATTTAATTTATTTTTTAAATAGAAATCATAAGATAATTTTATTAATGAATATATATTTTCAAAAAAAAATGAATTCCAGCCACGGTTGGAATAATTTAGGTAATAATGAGATTTTTACCTACAGTAAATTTATCGTTCCCTTTTATTTTTATGTTGACCAGAATTCCATTTTTATTATTGATCAAAAAACTCTAAATTATTTGATAGTTAAAACGAAAAAATTGAATATAAAATTTTTGAAATTTCGCAAAAACTTTTCAAATTTACCAGAATTTTTTTAAAAATTAATGAATTTTTATCGAATTTTTAAAAATAAATCGATATTTTTTAGAAAAAATATAGATTTTTTGTTTAACTTTTTAAACTTTCAGTGTATTTATCTAGTTTTTGAATAACTTATTAAATTATCTTTGGAATATAGTTTTAGAAGAACTTATCAAGCTATCTTTGAAGGATAACAAAACAAATTATTTATATAAAATTTATGAAGAATTTATTAAGCATTCTTGAAGGATAGTAAAATAAATTATTTATATCATATGTTTTTTTTAACTAATGCTTGATCGTATTTTTTTTGGAGGTCGAAAAAAAATTTTATTTTGAAAAATATTAATCCTGCTTATTTAATAAATTTGTTTTATATTAGCAATTTCATTTTATAATACGTCAAATAAATTCTTGATAATGCTTTATAATCATGTTTTGTTGATCACGGTTATTTAATTTTGATTGGTCTTACAATAACTTACATATAAGAATAAAATGTTGGTAACATGGATTGAAATTTTAGTTAGAATATAAGTTTTGAACAAATTGATATGATATATATATATATATATATATATATATATATATATATATATATATATATATATATATATATATATATATATATATATATATATATATATATATATATATATATATATATATATATATATATATATATATATATATATATGCTGAAATATATTTATTTTTATTAATTGTCAAAATTGATTGTACATTAAAATACTGAATTTATGAACAAAATAACTAATTACGTATCTGAATTAATTGGTAAAATCCACTATTTTTGAAATATATATTTTTGTTTGGTTATGAAAACAATAAGAGATAATTTTCTTGTATAAATTTTTTATTTGTAAATAATTTGTAAACTTTTTATTTAATCTGATTTGTTTGAATATTTAATTTTAGATATATCTATTGTTTATTTTATTTTATTAAATAGAGTTAAGTATGTCAAATCTTGCGAAACTTGACTTTGGGGCTCTTGACATCTCGGAAAAGAATTATTTGCCTTGGGCTCTAGATGTTGAAATTCATCTAAATCCAGAAGGTCACATTAATGCTATTAAAGAAGGAAATACATCATCTGATCAACAGAAGGCAAAGGTCATGATATTCCTTCGTCGTTATTTTCATGAGGACCTTAAAAATGAATATCTTACGGTAACTGATCCATATGTTTTGTGGAAAAATTTAAAAGAGAGATATGCTCATAAAAAATTGGTTATTCTACCAAAAGCTCGTTATGATTGGACGCATTTACGCTTGCAACATTTTAAAAGTGTAAGTGATTATAATTTTGCAATGTTTAGAATAACCTCTAAGCTAACATTATGTGGAGAAAAAGTAACTAATGAAGATACGTTAGAAAAAACATTATCCATTTTTGATGTATCCAATGTGCTCCTACAACAGGAATATCAAGAAAAAGGTTATAATAAATACTCTGCTTTGATATCTTATCTTGTGGCTGAACAAAATAATAAGCTCTTGATGAAAAACCAGGAGGCTCGTCCCGCAAGTACAACTCCATTCCCAAAAGTGAATGTAGCATGACACAGTCACTATGTACAAAATCGTGGTTGTGGTTGTGTACATGGCCGCAGTCGTGGTCGTGCCCATAATTATGCTCGTGGTCTTTATTTTGATCATAGTCACAATGAAAATCATAGGAATGTATCTTTTCAACAGAAGTGGAAAGATACTTGAAAAAGGTGGCCAGAGTAGCAAAAATAAAGAAAATATTTGTTATCGTTGTGGGAGAAAAGGTCATTGGAGTCGTACTTTTCGTACACCAAAACACCTTGTTGATCTTTATAAAAAATCACTAAAAAGTACAAATACAAGGATTGAGACACATTTTGTCAATGAGGATGGTGATCCCGATTATGGCAATATAGATGTTACTCACTTAGAGATTGGTGATTTCTTTGTTGATCCAGATGGAAAAATTGATCACCTTATTGGAGATGGAATTGTCAAGAAATAGAAGGTATAGAATTTTTCTATTTATTTTAGTTATTATGAATGCTTTGATTTCTCAATGTTTTTTTATTTAATTTTAAATTCAACGTTTGCTTCATGTTTTTGAATTTTAATTCCCTATAATAATAAAGTTTGTTTGCTTATTGTTCATTTACATAATCTATTGTTTAAATAACTTGTATGTTTAAAGTGCACTCATAACTCATTTTTTTATTTTAGAAGAATGAATGTTAGAACTTGCGCCACTAATGAAGATATTTGCATCGCTAATAGTGGAACTTGCGCTACTAATGTCAGCATTATTTATGGCACCTCAAAAATAATTGAAGGTTTCAAAAGAGCCAGTGTATTGTTAAGTGAAGGAACAATATTACACATTGAGAATGCACTATATTCCTCTAAATCTAATAGAAATTTATTAAGTTTCAAAGATATTCGCCTAAATGGATAACATATTGAAACAAAAGATGAAAGAGGTATTGAATATATTTGTATTACACAACATAATATGTAATGGAAAAGCTATTGGTTTTTTTCTTGGGCTTGTACTATACTTATATTAGTACAATTGAAGCACATGCCATTGTAAACCATAAGTTTACAAATAATAATAAATTTGTAATTTTGCATGATCGGTTGGGCCATCCCGATTATATAATGATGCGAAAAAAATTGAAAATTCATGCGGTCATCAACTAATGAGTCGGGAGATTATTCAATCAAATAAGTTCTCATGCAACTCTTGCTCGCAAGGGAAATTGATAATTCATCCATCACCAACAAAAATTGAAAATGAATCTATTAGTTTTTTAGAGCGTATACATGGTGATATTTGTGGGCCAATACGCCCATCATGTGGACCATTTAGATATTTTATGGTTTTAGTTAATGCATCAACTAGATGGTCACATGTTTGTTTATTGTCAACTCACAACCAAGCGTTTGCAAGATTATTGGCTCAACTAATTTGAATAAGAGCTCAATTCCCTGATTATCCTGTCAATAAAATACGTCTTGATAATGCTGCAGAATTTTCATCTCAAGCATTTAATGAATATTGTATGTCTATTGAAATTGACATTGAACATACAATAGAATATGTTCATACACAAAATGGACTTTCAGAATCATTTATCAAAGTTATAAAATTAATTGCAAGACCGCTTATTATGAGATGCAAACTCCCAGTTTATGCTCGGGGACATGCAATTTTGCATGCTGCAACATTGATTCACACCAGGACAACGAGTTATCACACCTTTTTCCCTTTAGAATTAGTTTTTGGTAAAGAACCTAATATTTTCCATCTAAGAATTTTTAGATGTTCGATGTATGTGCCAATTTCTCTACCACAACGCACTAAGATGGATCCTCAAAGGAGGATGGGAATATATGTTGGATATTGTTGTACCCCAAAATTTGCCCTTTCAATTCTCAAGGGTTTTCTCACAAAGATTCTCAAGATTCAGGCTTGCACAAGTGCTTTAGGATTTCCCAGTACCGAGATTAAGAGGAAACTGTCAAAAAGGGAGAAAATAGATAAAAAGTAACATTTTGCAAATTTGGAGAAAAATAAGTCCCCTTCGATTTGGCATCCTTCGATTGACTCCTGGCCTCCTTCGATTGCTCAAAATGGCTGCTAGCGTGCCTCTTTCGCCTAGGTATGTGACTTCCTGTTGCAGGCTTCGTTTGTGTCTTTTGTTGCCTACATTGCTTGCCTTGAAAACCAAGTTTGCTGGCCACAAGTGCCCCCTGCAAGGCAAACCCTTCGATTCTCCAAGCATGCTGCCTGCATGCTTGCTTTGAAAACCAATTTTAGCTGCCTGCAAGCCTGCTTCGATTTGGTCAAGTTCACTGCTTACAATCCTGCTTTGATTGGGCATATGCTGCTTGTAAGCCTGCTTCGATTGGGCACATGCTGCCTGCTGCCTGCTGCCTGCAAACCTGCTTCGAGTGGGCATATGCTGCCTGCATGTTGCTTTGTTTGGGGAAAGCTTCGATGGGACAAAATAACCATCTCTATGCATCCTTCGAATTCACTTGCACTAATGGCCCCTTGTAGACTTTGCTTCATACAAGTTTCGTTTAGAGATATCCTCATGCAAGATTTGGCTAAGTTCCTGCTTCCCTTGAAGGAACACTCTTCAATTCAGAAGGAACTTCCGTCATGCTAAACAGACACAAGGATTTTGAATCCCATCATGTTAGTTTCATTTGGGCATGTGATTTATTCAACACAAGCTGCTGGCCACATGTGCCCCCTGCAAAGCAAACTCTTCGTTTGGACAAAGTTTAGTGCCTGCGTGCTTGTTTCGTTTGGGAATGAATCCTTCAGCACAAGGTCAAACCTTTCGTTTGGGCATTTAACTTCCCTCATGATAAACAGTCACAAGACAGGGACCCCCCCACGTACACTCTTTCGTTTAGCCACATGTGACCCCCGCGAAAGCAAGCCTTCGATTGAACAAAAAGTATCTACCTACAAAGCTTCGTTTGAAGTTTTGATTCCTTTCGAATCAACATGCTTCGAATCCAGTCTGGGCCATTCGAAGCAAGCTTGTTTGAAGCAAGTCTGAACAAATCCCAAGACCAAATCTTACTTGTCAGGCTACTTTGCTTCCAAATCTTCACATAATCAGAGGTTTGCACATGTTTGTGATACATTACATGAGGGTTTGAAGGCTTATCCACTGGATAATACCATTCTGGGATGAAATGACAACAACTCATGTACCCTTTCTTCATAAAGTTTGTTTTATCACAAAAGCAGCTTTCCACCTGAATTTCGTCTGAACGAAAAGCAGGGCCAGAGGCACAAGTCTAATCAACTGTCAAGAGACCCCTCACTTGTACCCTTCATGTTACCTATATTTTATTATTTCTTTACAAGCTGGTCACTACAACATGTCCATAAATAGAGGAATTTTTGCAAAGCCAAGGGGGGGGGGGGGGGGATCTTTTGGACTAGAGGAACGAATCCCCCAAATTTTCTCAAACACAACAAATATCTCAAGTCCCTTCAACACTTGTAAGAACAAATCCAGAATCCCAAACACTTGCCTCTTTCGATTATGAAGAACAAACATTTTACATTCCTTCGAATCCCCTCCTTCTAGCGCCAGCAGTTCAAGCTCGAGGCCCACACACCAGCTTTGAGGTAAGTCATTCTAACTCTAAGCTTTTCATTTCAAATATCATGTACATAACATTTTTTTGCTCTTTTCGTTTCCACCCCCTTAACATGTTTTCAGAGCTACCCCCCCTCCTTTTCGTTTTGCTGCTTGTTTACTTAAATATGCTTTAACTATTAAATTGTTTGCAAGACAAATATTAGCATGGCCTTAGGCCATGTTGCCATTTAGTGCCTTAAACGAAAGAAATAGGAGACAAGAGTGAAACGAAGCCTTTGGCTTCCACACTGACTTCCAGGCCCAGCTAGAGGCACACTCACGTTGATTTCACTGGCCCAATCGAAGAAGGTAGCAAGGAAGAATCGAAAGGCAGAACCTTAGGATTCACCACACACTGGTTTCCAGGCAGAATCGAGAGGCACAACCTGCTGCTTCCAGGCCCAGTCGAAGGACACCACATGCTGACTTCCCAGCCCCAGAATGCCTGAATCGAAGGCCATGACCTCACTGGCGCAACTCCCAATCAAAGGCCATGACCTTGCTGATTCCAGCCTCTAATCGAAGGACGCCAACATAATGCAAATCGAAGGTTGTCTGCCCCAATTGAAAGGCACTCATTTTTCTTACTTTTATCTTATTTTTGCCTTCATATTTTTATGCCTTTCGATATGGTTGTAATAGTGTAGGTTTTATTTCTTGCATTCTTTATTGCTTTTGTATAAATGCTAGTAACGAGGATGTATGGTAAGATAAAAAACAACGAGTAGACAACCCCAAATCAAAGACAAAATGCATGCAATCAAACACACTTTGCACACATGCAAACTTAGGGTAATATCACTTTTTGCCTCGAAAAAATAGTCATGTCCCTCGAATATGGGCGTTTTAGCAAAGACCCTCGATAAAAGATCATAGTCCCTCGATGACCTCGATGTTGCCTTCAGTAAATGATCTAGTCCCTAAAAACAACATTGCTAAAATGTCTCATAGGTTGCCTTCTATGACTATACAAACGTCCCACGCCCGTCCCTTCACATCCAACGATGGAGCTTCTTACCAAAACAATGGTAAGATAGCAACACCTAAAGGAGGAAGAAAAGAACATCTAAGACCTTTTGAGTAGGTAGATTTGCTCCTAGTTGCTCGCTTGCTCTCAATAAAAACATTTCATACACCAACACTCTCACTTTGAAACATTTTCAAAAGACAAACACTTTGTACACGTTCTTATAGAAACGAGAGCCATTACAAAGACACCTTTTCAAAATCACTTTCAAAAACACATTCCACAAACACCTCTTTGAACTTATTTTCCAAACAACACTTTGTATGTGTTCTTATAGAAACGAGAACCATTACAAAGTCACATTTTTTAAATACTTTCAAAACCCATACCACAAGCACACTTTCAAACAAAAGCAAGTGATCTAGCAAGTAACTAAGATCCCGTAGATAACTACGGATGAAAATGGTGCTAATACCTCCCCTTTTCATAATCTACCCCCCGAACTCATAAAACATCTCTAAAGGTCTTTCCTGTTCTTTTCAGCCTTTCCTTTTGGATAAAAGAAAAGTCGGTGGTGACTATTTCTATCCGCAACAATTGAGATCAAACGCAAAACAACCCAAGTAAGTTCTCCCACCGTATTACAGAACTGGAGAATCTTCTGGGGATTATACTTAAAAGTGGAATTACCTTAGGGCTAGATCACCTTTACTTGCTTTTTAGGATAATTCACTTATATTCATCGACACCCTATGTAGGGAGAAGTCTAATCACCAGAGGCACAAGTCTAATCACCATTCATCTTTGGCCGATAGGGAGAAGAATTGTGATGTTGAATCTTGAATTGCCCGCACAATGCGGTAATCA